CGAGGGGCCCCGTTCGTAGAATTTCGTGCGCATGGCTCAGGCGGTTTAGGCACTTTCTGGTGCAGCATCTCTCGCTTTCCGACTCCACGAATAGGAAGGGGAGTGGGAGGAAGAGGAGGAGGAGGAGGAGGAGGAGGAGGAGGAGGAGGGGGAGGAGGAGGAGGAGGAGGAGGAGGAGGAGCAGAAGGAGGAGGAGGAAGAGGATGACGATCCCGCAGTCGGAGGCACGCCTCGGAGCCCTTCAAGGACGCCCTCGTCGTCGTCGTCGTTGTCGTCGCCGTCGCCGTAGCCATCGCCATCGGCACAACCACTGGCAGCACAAGCAGCACAACCATCGCCAGAAGAACCACCAACAGCACAAGCGGGGCGGGCGATGCGAGCCTCGGCCCCGCAAAAGCCTGCGGGCGAGCACCAGCGCAGCCAGCGCAACCATCACCGGCACAGCCGCTAGTGCAAGTACCACCAACGTAACTACCACCAGCAATCCATTTCAGGGGCTGCGCATTAACAGTGGCGACAGCCGCCACCAGCACAACTTAATATATTCATTTGTGGCCGCATTGCGGCCAAGCCGTGGTGCGAATGACTACCACCGGCTGGAGACGATGTGGCTCTGCACTGTCGCTCCCTGTGTCACCGGCGGAACAACCACCGCCAACACAATCAGCACAGTCGCCGCCACCAGCACCACCAGTACAGTCAGAACAGCCGCCACCAGCACAACCACCGGCAGCACAACCAGCACAACCACCACCAGCAAAACCACCAACAGCACAATCACCAACGGCACAAGCGCCAGCGCAACTTGGTACCACAACCAGCACAACCACGATCAACGCAACCATCACCAGCGCCACCATCACCATCAGCCCAACCACTGGCAGAACAACCACCACCAGCACGATCAGCACAACCACCACCAGCACAACCACCAGCAGCACAACCAACGCAACCATCACCATCACAACCACTTACAACTCAACAATCAACAGCACAAGCGGGGCGGGCGATTCGAGCCTTGGCCCTGCACCAGGGCGGTGGAATGCCCTGTCGCCTGCGGGCGAGCACGATTGCGCGGGCGCGAGCCCGCGAAAATTGCCAAATAGGCATTCCACACGCCGGGGAAAGCCCAAAAGGGCTTTCGGCTGCTCCACTCCTCCTCTCTCCTTCCTCCTCCTCCTTTCTTCTTTCATCGCAGTAGGCACGCCCCCCTGGGTGCCATCCCGCCGCCAGCGCGAAGATAACAGGCACCTGGGGGGGCGCCCCGTTCCGTGAACCCCGCTGCAGAGTGGGGATCTCGACCTCCCAATGGGGTTTGCGGAACGGGGGCGGATCGAAAAATTATTATTTGGGCGCCTCCTACTTCCTCTCCTCTTCCTTTTCCTCTCCTCCTCCTCCTCCTCCTCCTCCTCCTCCTCCTCCTCTCCTCCTCTACTCAGACTTGCTCATACCCAGACTTGCTCATACACAGACTTATGCACACTCAGGCGTTCTCATATTCAGACTTACTCAAGTTACTCAACGCACGGCAGATTGCGAGGATGTCTCAGGCGGGGCGCTGGTTTCAGCACCCCTAAGGGGGGCCGCCAAGGGGTATATCACGGGCCCGTTCGCGGCCACTTTGTGGTGATGTCTCAGGCGGTCTGCTCGTTTTCGTGCTCAACATCGTTGGCTTTCATAGCAGATTGTGAGGACGTCTCAGGCGGGGCGCTGGTTCCAGCACCCCTAAAGGGAGCCGCCAGGGGGTATAGCACGGGCCCGTTCGCGGCCAATTTGTGGTAATGTCTCAGGCGGTCTGCTCGTTTTCGTGCTCAGCATTTTTGGTTTTCATAGCAAACTGTGAGGATGTCTCAGGCGGGGCGCTGGTTCCAGCACCCCTAAGGGGAGCCGCCATGGGGTATATCACGGGCCCGTTCGCGGCCAGTTTGCGGGGATGTCTCAGGCGGTTTGCGCGTTCTCGTGCTCAACATCCTTAGCTTTCATGGCAGATTGTGAGGATGTCTCCGGCGGGGCGTTGGTTTCAGCACCCCTAAGTGGAGCCGCCAGGGGGTATATCACGGGCCCGTTTGCGGCCAGTTTGCGGGGATGTCTCAGGCGGTTTGCTCGTTTTCATGCTCAACATATTTGGTTTTCATACCAGATTTTGAGGATGGACGAAAGGGGGACGAATATGAGGAGGAGGAGGAGGAGGAGGAGGAGGAGGAGGACGAGGACGAGGAGGAGGAGGAGGAGGATGAGGAGGAATAAGAGTATGCACATATGGGAAGCTCCGAAGTTACCGCAGGCTGAGGAGGGCACGGCCTGGCAGCTGAGGAGGGTGAGTGAAGATGAAAAGGCTCATTATCAATCATAATCCAGCTCACTCTGACTCATACTCACTCCCTCGCATCAGGATGCGCTCGTCTTCGTCGGGCCTGTCGCCAACGTGGACGGGCTACTATTGTCAAGCGCTCATGAACAGACGCTCACTACGGCATAATATAAAGCATGAGATGCACATATGGGGAGCTCCACGAAGTGAGTATTTTTTTTCTGGCCGTGCCGCCGCCCAGCACGACGCCGCCAGGTTTAAGCCCGAGGTGGACTTGCCAGGTCTGCCGCCCCCCGAGGAGAAGCACATTGGGAGGTCTATGCAGCAGGTTCCCCCGAGTGTTCCAGGCCCCGACCAGCTGCTTATCTGGCTTGGGAAAACCATCCGAAGGGTCCAGCTGTTTTGCATGGCGCTCTCTCGCGGGCGTCGGACGGCAAACCCTTACTGCGTGGTTTCGACTCGCTGCCGGGCGCGGTCCTGGCCAAGGGCGGCGAGGCCGTTGACGACAATTCAGCGACCCGCGAGGGCTCGGGTACACGACCATTGGGTTTGAGAAGTACCGACTGCCAGATCCCCACGGTCACATGCATCAAACCATTGTCAAAACAGCTCCCAAGCTTCATCGCGAGTTCCCAGTGGGGCTTCGTTCCATCCAGGATTTTCGGGATGATCATCATCGAACTCGATGCCCGGGCGCGGATCGCGTCCATGCTCCCGCGCGCCCAGGATAGGACGCCTGCCCTGCTTTCGTTCGACCACGGTCAGGCGTGTCCCTCGATTGCCCGGCGTTGGATATTCCTGATCCTGAGCACGCTGCAAGTGCCGCCTCCGCCCCTGGCCTTCCCCCGCATGATCTATGACAGCGCGATGTGCCACGGGCGCGTCGGGGCGTCTGCCAATGCATGTACACAATACTCCCGGGCACCATTCAAGGATGCCCATCAAGTGGATGACTCTATGAGATTGCCTCCCATCCGTTCGTCGTTCACTTCGAGACGTTGATCGACAAATGTTCCGCCCGCGGGCTCGTTTTCTGGGGAGACTGCCCCTCGGTGCCCCCAGATGGCTTTCGCGAGATCTGCCCGGGCGGGCGAACTCCCAGATCGCTCCCGAACTGCAGTACTTCGGGTTGTGTTCCGGCCCCGCCGCCCCCCCGTCTCCTCGGGATATCCCCGCCGGCAAGTGTTCGAAGCGCTCTTTTCTGATCTCGGCTGCCGGCGCCCCGGCTACAGTTGCCGCCGCTTCGTGCATATCGAGAGCCGTCAACTGCCTGGGGTGCACTGCGCAATTCTGCCCCCTCTTCCCGAAACAATGCTTCGCCAGGAACACGCGCGCCTGGCTGCGCTATTCAAGCTCCCGCTCTGTGCGCTGAGAAGAGCAGATGTCTTCGACTTCCCCCCTGGGGATTCTCCAGGTTCGCAGTGTCCTTCTGATAAGCTCGGCCTCGGGAACTAGGGCAGCCATGAGCACGCGCCCTGCGCGGCGGCAGCAGTATCAGGCACTTTCGGAGGCTGGAGTTCACCTCGCTCTGTCGGAAATCGGTCAGCGCCGCATGTCGCTTTCATTTTGGGCAGAGCCTCCCATTGCGAATTTCTTCACGAAGCCTGGCTTGGTTTCCTTCGCCCCCGTACAGCAAAGCAGGAGCGAAAGCTGCCGCCGCTGCTCAAAAAGCCTTGGCCGATGTGAGAGAGGTTCAGCGAGCTGCGAGTGCAGCGCCCTCTCAGAAACTGTTCCCAGCTGGCATCGCCTCTTCCTTTCGTCGCAGCCCCCCTCGCCCCCTTCCCCGCGTCAGCAAGACAGCCTGGGACCAGATTGATTGGCCTGCCGTGCAGGCCGCCGCTCTACAGCGTCCGCCGTCCTGGCGACTTGCGATTTGACGACAGTCTGCGGTGGTTGGACCACCAGCAGCAGGTTCAAGCAAAATTGCATTATGTGCCCATTCGGTTTCACTAACTGCCAAGATACACAGGCGCATTTGCAGCGTCCTACTGTCTGGCCCACCCGATACCCGAAGACCCACTTTCTCGTCTTGGTTGGAGCTCCCCCTCCACCTGAGGTATGTAGTTGCCTCTTGTTACTTGTTTACCCTTTCTGTATCCCTGTTCCCCCCGCTGTTGGCCGAAGATGTGCTCCTGTTGCCCCCGCAGCTGCGCCTCGGCGTTCGGGGTCCTCACCCGCTCCCGTCATCGCGCCCAGAGCCGACAGAGGGCCCCCGTCGCGACGACTTCTTCAGCCAGCCGCGCTCTTTCGGCAGCGAGGCATCATCAGTTACGAGCGCAAGAGGACCAGCAGCAGCAGGGGAGGGGAGGATTTGGAGGGTGGTCGGAGGAAGAGGAGGTGGTGGAAATGGAGCAGGGGGGGTGGAAAAGGAGGCAGAGGAAGAGGAACAGGAGGAGGCGGAAATGCGCGCAATCGCAGAGGCAGGGGAGAGTGAGCAGGAGGAGGAGGAGGAGGAGGAGGAGGAGGAGGAGGAGGAGGAGGAGGAGGAAGGCGAGAAACGGGGAGAGGAGCAGCATGATGGGGAGGAGGAGGAGGAGGAATGGGAGGAGGAGGAGGAGGAGAAATGGAGGAGGATCGAGATTCGACTGTCTATAATTTCGCACACTTGTGGCTCTTGTTGGACCTCTGGGCCGCCTTGCCGAAAGTATCTCCACGCAGTGGCCCTCCGCGTCGATGCCAGCCCCGCCAGGTGCCGATACGGGCCAAGGGCGTCTTCGACACCAATTGCACCGCCTCGGACTGTCTCAAGGAGCACCGGTACGAGTGCTACTTACGGAAGGATCAGTTGGCAAAATCCGCGCGTCCATTTGGTGTGCATGCGCTGCGTGAGCTTGGGGTTGTTTCTGCACCCCTCTCCTGCGCGGCCTTTCTCCCAAGGTGACGGCGACATGGAGTGGGTGAAGGCAAAGGGGATGCTCCTTGAATCCCCCCGCGCGCTGCGCCGCGCGCTTCGATCGTGCCAGGCTGAGGAAAGGCTGGGACCAACCAGTCGGCGCGCCCAGCATCAGCTTACGGTGTACACGTTGCCATGGTTTGTGGATTGGCTGCGAGCAAGAGGGTGGCAGGGTCATGGGGGCGGCCTACTCAAAGGCAGGAGGCGTCTGATAACATAAACGCCCCGCAGCCATCGGCGATAATCTAATCGACGCTGTGTGAGAGGGGGTCTTTTTTCGAAGGCTCCCCTGCCCCCGTCCCTCGTCTTCATCCTCATCATCCTCTGTACAGCGCCTCCTCGGCTTCCTTTTCCCTCAAGCCTGCCCCCTCCCTTTCTCGCTGTTCCAGCCTTCGTCCTCAATCCTCCTCTTGCTCATCCCTCAATCCGCTTCCTCCTCCACCTTCTCCTTCCCTCTTTCCTCCTTCCTCCCTCCTTCCCCCTTCCGCTCCCTCAATCATTTTTCCTACGGGGTTGCAGGGCCTGGCGATTCGATCGAAACTAGTCCTCGGATGTCTTGGATCATAACCCCCAGTGTGGTCGCATCTGGGCTGCTCGCCCCAGAGCTTGCCTGCAGTGCAGTCGCGTGGGGCGCCCTTTTGGGATCGGTGCTCTTTCTCCCGGCCTCCAGGAGCCCCCAGAATCTCAGGGCCACCTCCCAAAACAAAAACACGAAGCTGCCACCATGTCATCCCTCCTGTCCTTGTCCCTCGCCCCCTGAGGGCTAGGCTGCCTAGTGTCATCGAATGCAGACCTCCGACGGCTTGATTTTGTTCGGGTCGTCAGCTCCTGAATGTCTGGGGCTGGCTTTGGATACCGAGTCTTGTTTGCAGTCCTGTGCCTCGGAAGCGGCCTCTGGATGGCAACATATAGACGAACCTGCGCGGTTTCAAGGCGAAAGCTACACGTTGGAAGCGGCCCGCCTTCAAACCTTGAACATGTTGCACACTTTCACGGCGAATGTGCGCGGCGCTGAGGCGAGCACCGCAGTTTGCAAACGACCTGCCCTTCACCCGTGAAGCTGTTGCACACTTTTACGGCGAATGTGCGCGGCGCTATGGCGAGAGCCACATTTTGCAAACGACCCACCCTCCATCGATGAAATTGTTGCAAATGTCAAGTTTCACGATCACAAATCGTCAGGAAGTCTCGGGCCAAACGCCCAGCCCGCCCTACTGACACCTCTGGGGGGTGCGATAGGGAGGAGTGAGTTATAAAGAAAACCGATAGGGAATGAAGACGAAGACGACGAGAAGAAGAACGCTACGACGACGACGACGACGACGACGACGACGACGACGACGGCGGCGGCGGTGGCGGCGGCGGCGGCGGTGGCTGCGGCCCCGAGGACTCCTACGGCACAGCAGACGGACTGTACGCCGTGACTTCCTCGTGCGCTGTGGACTACTCGTACCAGGGTGCGGGCTACAAGGGCGACCCAGGATCCCTTTGGCCAGCCCCTCCTCCTCCGCGTCCTCCTCCTGCTCCTCCTCCTGCTCCTTCTCCTCCTCCTCCCCCTCACCCTCCCTCCCCCTTCCTCCACAGTCGCACTGTATGAAAACTAGTCTCCTCTCTCCCCTGGTGGCGTCCAGGACATATTCGGCCATTTCCGCGCTTCCACGTTTTCGTTGTTTAATGCTTCTCTCGCTGAAGCGCTGGCCTCATTTCCGGGCTACCGCTCGTTCGGAATCGTGCTCCCGCTGCAGCGCTGGCCTCATTTCCACGCTTCCGCTCGTTCCGAATCGTGCTCCCGCTGCAGCGTTGGCGTCATTATTTACAGCGCCATGCCGCGGCATGTTTTTCGGTCCTTCCAAATCGGCCCCAACTGTTAGAAATGGCCTCCCGAAGAAACCATCGGAAGCGATTACTCATTCGGTGTCGATTCGTTGTTTTTTGGGCTGCAGAAGCCCCCCCCACTGTGGGGCGTCGCCACGCCATGCTGTGTCATGTTACGTGTTGATCTTCAACGCCATGCTGTGCCCTGTAATGCTATGCCATGCTACGACATCCAACTATGTGGATACAGAGGAGGTCTACGCCATGGTAAGGAGTGGGAGGGGCATCATTGTGAAACCGGTGGCTTGGGCTGTGTAGACATAATCAAACCCATAGAATGCTGAATTTCTCAGGGCTGCATGCGCTTTGGGGCACTCCACGGTGCTGTAGGTACGGTGGTCCACGGGATTCCCCGGAAATTTTGAAAAACAACTATTTGTCAAACCAGTGGCCCGGGCCTCTTACAACATTTTTTACCATACATTTCTGAATTGCTCAGAGCTGCATGAGGCTGGGCGCACTGCACAACGTGCCGCAGGCACGTTTTTTCTTGCTTACGTACACGCGAATGATAAACACATACTAAATCTGCCATACATATACACCTTATTCACATGTATGTATATATATATATATATATATATATATATATAACATTTATGTATATCATATAGATATATACATATAACGGCGCACCTGGTCTGGGGGCCCGGGGCCGGGACCACGACCGCCAATGTGGGGACCGGGGGCTCTGGAGGCTCGTCGGGGCTTGCCGGAGGCCTCCCCGGTCAGACAAGACGGCCCCAGGAACGCCCAAGACGGCCCAAGAAACTTCCAAGAGGCCTCCAAGAGGGCTCCGAGATGCTGAAGATGGCCTCCAGACGTCCAAGGACGCCCCCAAGAGGCCCCAAGAAGCCTCCAACATGCGTCCCAAGAGGGCCCCTAGACGCAAAAATTGGCCCATTCCCTTCGTAAAACGTACATTTTCAACAAAGTTCTCTTTTGGGCTTTCCGACGTTACAGGACGGCCCAAGAGGCGCCCAAGACCGCCCCAAGACGGCCCAAGAAGCTTCCAAAAGGGCCCCAGGACAGCCCAAGAGGGCCCCAAGACGGCCCAAGAGGCGCCCAAGATGGCCCAAGAGGGCCCCAAGACGGGCCCAAGAGGGGGCCCAGAGGGGGACCACGAACCGCAAGCTCGAGCCTTCCGCCCCAAGAGGCCGCCAGGAGGCCCCCAGGAGGCCCCTCAAGAGGCCCCAGGAGACCCCAGACGTCCAAGGACGCCCCCAAGAGGCCCCAAGAAGCCTCCAACATGCGTCCCAAGAGGGCCCCTAGACGCAAAAATTGGCCCATTCCCTTCGTAAAACGTACATTTTTCACAAAGTTGCCTTTTGGGCTTTCCGACGTTACAGGACGGCCCAAGAGGCGCCCAAGACCGCCCCAAGACGGCCCAAGAAGCTTCCAAGAGGGCCCCAGGACAGCCCAAGAGGGCCCCAAGACGGCCCAAGAGGCGCCCAAGATGGCCCAAGAGGGCCCCAAGACGGGCCCAAGAGGGGGCCCAGAGGGGGACCACGAACCGCAAGCTCGAGCCTTCCGCCCCAAGAGGCCGCCAGGAGGCCCCCAGGAGGCCCCTCAAGAGGCCCCAGGAGACCCCAGACGTCCAAGGACGCCCCCAAGACGCCCCAAGAAGCCTCCAACATGCGTCCCAAGAGGGCCCCTAGACGCAAAAATTGACCCATTCCCTTCGTAAAACGTACATTTTTCACAAAGTCGCCTTTTGGGCTTTCCGACGTTACAGGACGGCCCAAGAGGCGCCCAAGACCGCCCCAAGACGGCCCAAGAAGCTTCCAAGAGGGCCCCAGGACAGCCCAAGAGGGCCCCAAAGCGGCCCAAGAGGTGCCCAAGATGGCCCAAGAGGGCCCCGAAACGGGCCCAAGAGGGGGCCCAGAGGGGGACCACGAACCGCAAGCTCGAGCCTTCCGCCCCAAGAGGCCGCCAGGAGGCCCCAAGGAGGCCCCTCAAGAGGCCCCAGGAGACCCCCAAGAGGCCCAAAGGAGGCCCCGAGAAGCCCCAAATCGGCCCCCAAAATGCTTCGAACCTGCTTCCAGGAGGCCCCCGACAGGTTCAGAGGCTCCCGAGAAGCTACGTCAAACTCCCAGCGAGCGGCCGGACGAGGCCCCCCACAAAATCACAAGAGGGTTCCAGTATTTGTATCTTTCATCGCTCTCTGGCCTTCTTCCCCCTGCCCCCTTCCCTGCGACTTTCGTTGACTCAAGCTCGCCTCCTAGCTAGAATCTAAGCGCGCGAAGCGCGCGCGTGGTTCTAGTGTGTATATATATGTATACATAAATTAATATCGGAGTAGGCCTCGGGCGGGCCTGGGACCCCGACCCCAGGCGCACATGGGTGCCGCAGCGCTCCAGGAGCGCCCTCGTGGTTCCCAAAGTGGCCTCGTGGTCGTACAGAGGGCCCACAAATTGGTACGACAGTCTAGCAGACTGGGTTTATCACGCGCCAAGAGTACCGGAAATGATGCCAGAACGGACTCCGGATGCCTCGAGAAGGCGCCAGGACGGCCCTGGGTACGCTTCGGTGGGCAGTCGAAACCCCAGACGAGTTCCCCGAGGAACAGAAATCATTAATTTCGCTAGGATGTTCAACGCTTTCGGTGCACTTTCTTTTTCGGCATTCTGCAAGTCCACGACGGCCCACAAGGCCTCCGACACCGCCTCAGGACCGGCCCAGCGCCCCCCAGGAAGGCCCCACGATGGCCTAGCGGGGCCCCATGACGCCTGCAGGAACGTCCAAAACGGCCAACGCGGCCCTCAACACGGCCTTGAGAGGACCTCCGTAGGGGGGCATGAACGGATTTTTTTTGCCCCATTCAGTCCCCGAAGGCCTCCAGAAGGCGCCAGGACGGCCCCGGTAGGCTCCAGAGGGCGCCCGAGGCCAGACGAGTACCCCGAGAAGGTTTTTCAATGACTTCGGTGCCCTCTCTTTCTCGACCTTCTGACACCCCTCGACGGCCCACAAGGCCTCCGACGTTGTTTCAGGACGGGCCCGGCGGCCCCCAGGAAGGTGCCCTTGAAGGCCCTTGGAGAGCCATCTGGCAGCGGCAGGCGCCGCCGCCGTTGGGAGAGGATCGCCTGCAGGAGCTCGACGGCCTCCCCGGATTGCCAGAGCGAGTCCCATGGGCGGCCGATCTCGTGGGATGACTGCTGCGGCAGATGCCAAAGCGCAATCAGCCTGGGCTCGACCCCTGGGCCGCGGGCGAACTGCGGCTGCCCCCCAATGACTCCACGGCTGAATCGCCGAGCTCTTTGAGAAGGTGGATGCGAGCGGACGTTGGCCCCGAGACCCCGCCGAGGCCGAGGGGCTGGTGTTGCCCGAGCCCAGTGGCGAGGGCGGTCCGCTGGACAGGAGGCCCATCTGGCTGCCGTCGACCCCCCGCGCCGCAGCCTGAACGTCCTGGCACGGCCGCGGCACTGGCGCGCAGGCGCGGTCGACGACCGCCTGCGACGCAGAATCTACGCGGATGATTTCACGCTATGGAGCCGGCCTCCGGGGCAGGAAGCCAGCGAGGCGGCGGAGTCGGTCCGCGATGAGTTGCGGCTGGCCGCGGTTTTTGAGCGCTGGGCTGGCAGGTCAACCGCGGCAAGAGCGCGCAGATCGCGGAGTCGGCGGCGGCGCGGCGCTGGCTATCGGCGCAGGCGCTGGGCATTCCCGTTGGTGCCAGCTTCGAGGATCTTGGCGTCGCGGCGACCGCGGGTCGCCGGCGCCGCCGCGCGGTCGCGCGGAGCCGCTTGCTCGCGGCGGCGGGCGAAGGTTCGCCCGGGTCGGGCGCCTGCCAGTGGGCTTCCGGCAGCGCGGGCGGCATTGCAGCGGGCATGTTTGGAGCCGCGCGCGGGCCGCCGCCCGCGCGCGAGCTCTCGCGGGGCTCCGCTCGACGGCGTGGCGCGCTGTCTGCAAGAGTCGGTTCCGCGCCGCGGCGGAGGCGGCAGTCGGCGCCCTCAGCTCCAGGCTGGACCCAGCAACGATTGCGGCCGTCGCGCCGCTGCGGCAGATCGCCAGGGCGCCGCGGCGCGGCCGCTTCCTGGAGGACTTTTGGCGGGGGGCGGAGGGCGCCGTCGCCGCGGGGCACGGCCGTCGCCGAGGGCCCGTTGCAGCTGCAGCGTGCAGCATGTTGGCTCTGAAGCTGGGCGCGGACGTGGCGCGCCAGGGCGCCCCGTCGGCGCCGGCAGGGTGGCGGGCCTCTGGCCGGGCCCTGCAGGACGCGCGGGCGGTTCCACTTGCAGCCTGGGCGCGCCGCGAGGCCCAAGAGGTCGCGACTGGGCGCGCCGACTTTGTCCGCGCGGCGGGGGGCGTGGACCGGCGGGCCGCCCGTCGCCTCCAGGAGAGCGGCGTGCTTGCGCCTGGCGCCGCCCGCGCCCTTCGCGCAGTCCTGAGCGGCAATGTCGTCGCAGAGACTGGCAGCCAAGCTAGCGGAGCAAACCCGATCGCTGCCCGCGCTGCGGCGCGGCGCGGGAGGACTGGCAGCGCCGGTCTTGGGATTGCCCCTGTTGCTCCCCAGCGCCCGGCGCGCGGCGCTCGCAGCAGGGGGGCCCTCGCCCGCCGCGCCGCTGGCCGGGCTGCCGCAGGGGGTGGCCAAACCCGGAGCTCTCTCTCCTTG